GTGAGGGCTCAATTTCTGTGCGAGCTGTATTCTGCTTGGGTCGTGAGAAGTCTTTGACCCACCGAACGCTGTTTCTCCACTTGGGATCATGAGAAGGCACCTTTCGCCTGAATGATGTTCAGCCTTGAGTCATAAGATGAAACTATTTCTACGGGAGCTAACTCCTGCCCTGTGGCTATGTGCTGAGTCTGTTTGACTTAGGGCTATTTCCTGCGCTAAGATTATAAGTGAGGGTTTCATTCTCCGTTTTCTTTCTACATCGAAACAAAGAAACTAGCTGGTAAGGTTCAACTGTCACAGTGGGATTAGTTACTCCTATCGTTACAGGAAACCCCTGTTGTTCGCTGAGGACCTCGGAAGCGGGCGCGGCGAGTTACAGGCGCCGTGGCCCTTGGCTTCAGCGAACGGTAGGTGACCCCTCCCCAGGTTTCCTCAGGGAAGGGTAGATAAAGTGAACGTCTCTACGTTTCATCGTGACCTCTGGTCGAGACTAATGCTCTGCTCCCTTTGCACTACTGGAAATGCTCCCACGGCCACCAGTGAAACTCCCACTTCCCAAAGGTGACCTCGTCCTGTAGAGCTTCAGGTCTTCTCACACTTCGAGTCTTCACGCTCCCGGTTGAGGTAGTCGCTAGTACTTGGCTTGTGCTTCTCACAACAACAGTCCCACCGCTGCCAGACTGCCAGTTGCCTTCCCACTGCTCCCGGAAGTGCCGCTGGCTGACTCACCATTGGCCTTGCACTGGACTCACTCTCCCTTCTTCGTGCCGTTGGTCATGTATGTTTCCCAAAAACGGGGTTCATGCAGAGGTTGCAGTCGCCTGAAATTTGAGCGTTGAAGGTTGTAGAGGGATCCGGAACCACCCTGCTCCCTTGTATTCCACAGGGAGACACAGCCCCTTGTCGAGGCTGAGGGAGATGGCCAAACCTCAGGAGTACCGAGTACTCCATAGCTCTGTCCCATGCCCCGTAACCCGGGCCTTGCTGCGCCGCCGTTTCCGTGGTATCATCCCGGGCCTTGCTGCGCCGCCTTTTCGGGACGGCGGTATCATCAGTAAGGCGGCGCTTTTGTCATTTATGCATGTGAAGAGTGTCGCGATGGTGCGGCATTTGACAATGAGCGTGGACGCACGGCAGACGAAACGAAAAACGAAACGAGTGCATCTGCCCACGAAAGGTGTTAATACACTCGTTACTATTTATAGCAAACCGATGAACCTGGCCATTTTCTGCGTGAAGATACATTCGTTTCGTTTGCCGTGCGGCAACGCCCAACGGGAAGTTGTTTCCATACCTTCGCCTCTGTGGCCGTTAGAACAAACCGAACTGCAAATCATTTGTGGCTGACACCCGACGCTCCATCATATGAGGGCACATGGACGATTTCACATGTATCTGGCGGCCGGTAGGGGCAGTTTCGGTGGAAAAGTCCTGCTGGCGACTTTTTAGCGGCACCTTTTGGCGGGCAGGAGGGCTCGGTCTCTGGATCCGAAATTGGGTATGCCATATTTCTGTCTCTTGTGCATATGGAGAGTAGGTACCTTGTTACCGTTGAAAGTTTAGGTATACTCGCACTTGGACTTCCCCTGACATTTATGAAATCAACTACAGTCAAATTTTGGGCGCGCACTAGTACTTTCCCAACTTCTCCGTGGACAGATTTGCGCTTCGGTTCATCGACGCGTGGTCAGAAAAGCGACCATATACATCGACGACGAATCTCCTAGCGTGAGTATGCCCCAAGTCTGCGCAGTCTGCTGCTTCCAATCGACAAGGCGGGATACATAGTTGTAGATTGAAAATTCCGTCATTTGTATGCGCCCGCGCGCGCGGGAGAGACAGGGAGAGGCAGAGGGAGAGAGCGAGACCACGTTCGCTAGAGAGAGAGAGAGAGAGAGAGAGAGAGAGAGAGAGAGAGAATAATAATTGAAGGAGAAGTTAGCACGGGCGTGGGCGTAGGTTGACCGATAACGCCTCCCCCTTGCGGAGGAGGGGAAGCGGAGTCACGCGGGATGCGTCTTCGGGCAGCGGACTTCGTCAGGAGAAGGAGCGATGGCGGCAAATCTTCTGATGTTGTCCGCTTGTCGGTGCGCTCTGTGCTTTTGACTTTATGTGGGTGATAACGTGTCTCTACAATCGGACTTCGCTTGACTTCGGTGTCCACCATAACTAACGCTTGCTTGCATCCTTCCTAGTAAGGCTTAGTTACTTCATTTGTACTTTATTTGTCCTTTATTTGTACTTCGTGGTACTTCACAGTACTGCATAGTACTTGATTTTTACTTCATAGTACTTCATAGTACTTCATAGACAACGATTACTCTGCAATCGGTCTGCGCTTCACCTGGGTGTTCGCCATAGCCAACGCTTTCTTCCGTCCTTCTTCTTTCCTTATTAGTGCGTACTCACACTAGCTCTAAATGTATCTGACCGCATGTCCGGCCGAACATTATGCATCTGACCGCAATTCTGTCCAGAAATGAGTGGAACGGTGCTACTGTGAGTATGCCCTTCCATATGTCAGAATACTTCATAGTACTTTCAAAAGTATTTCATAGTATTTCATAACATTTCATAATATTTCATAACATTTCATAATATTTCATAACATTTGATAGTACTTCATTTCTACTTTCACTTCGTAGAATTTCATAGTACATTTCTACTTCATTTCCACTTCCTAGAATTTCATAGTACTTCATTTCTACTTCATTTTCTACTTCATTTCTCCTTCATTTCTCCTTCATTTCTAGTTCATAATACTTCATAGTGTTTCATTTCTACTGGATTTCTATTTCATAGTACTTCATAGTATTTCATAGGAGTACTTCATAGTATTTCATAGGAGTACTTCATAGTATTTCATAGTAGTACTTCCATAGTATTTCCTAGTGCTTCTTAGTTTTTCTTAGTATTCTAGTACTGCATATTAGTACTTTATAGTATACTACAATCATGAAGAAATCGGGAGAGGCTGATTGTCATCCCAGTCGATCTCCAAACCTTCTCCTGCTAGATCGTTGTGGAGTCGATTTTTCGGTTTATGGACGACCCTTCGTGCGCGCGACTCGCCATGCGGATCCCAGCACGATTTGGTGAACGGTCTTTGAAGTTCTCCTTCCTTCAGGGTTTTTTTTTTTTTTTTTTTTTTTTTTTAATTATTCTCCTCTTTTTTCCTTTTTTATTGGGATTCAGGATGAGAAATTAAACTGATGGGAACAGACGAAAAGAGTCTCTGCTTTCGTTTCGATTGCTGTAATTTCACTCAAGAGTTCATTCGATCTATTTTTAACCACGTCAGTTTGTTTCGTTACGTGTTGATTAGTTGATGGGTTAATCGCAACCCCGACTTCAGGAAATTACTTTCGTTACGTTTTCTTTGGTCGGTAAATTACTGCTTAATGACTCGTATAATATTTTGAGCCACTTCGGCTTTTTCATCTTTACTTGTTGATTAGTTGATGGGTTAGTCATATTCCCGATATTGGCACTTTTATTACTAATTAATCAATAATAAAAATAATATATTGAACCTTTACGAGGTCCGATGCTTTATCTCTGCCGTCAATAGAATTGCGCGCTAATTTTTCACTAAACTCTTGGCGATTCGCACGTCCCGCCCCCTCTCCTCCCCTCCCCTTCCCCCCCCCTCTTTCTTTTTTTTTTGTTATTTCAAGAGCTTAACAATATGGCTTCTTTGCAGGCTCTCTGAGCAATTCATCAGCTTGCAATCATTCTGTGCGAAGATTCAGTGCATTTTCGCTCGCCTTTGCGTGGGACCACCGACTATTTGTTGCGCATCTCACCCACCAGTCGCGTGTTACTGGTCGTCAGGCAAAGCAGCGAGGTAGGCCGCTAAAGCGGAGTGTATCGGGTGTTAGGTGAGGAAAGAAGAAGAAGAAGAAGAAGAAGAAGAAGAAGAGGGAGAAGAAGAAGAGGGAGAAGGATATGGGGATGCGTAGAGAACAGATCTCCAGTTGTTCGCCCGGAGGGCAGATTCACAGTAGTAGGTAGCATTGGAGACGGTGTATCGGACCGCTTTCACGCCTAGATACAATTGAAAAACGAAGCTTTGGAGTGGGAGCAGATCTCACCTTGTTCTCTTGAGGTAGCACTTCAGACGGTGTATCTGATCGTTTTTCGTCTAGATTCCGTTCCAAAGAAAAGCTTTTGAGCGGGGTCGAGCATGCCCTGACTCTTTCCACTTGAGCGGGGTCGTCGCTTCGGTGAACCACTTGAGCCCCGATCCATTTTCGGCGCGATGAAGCTAGACCAGTGAGCTATTACGCTTTCTTCAAAGGATGGCTGCTTCCAAGCCCACCTCCTGGTTGTAATTGCTCGATCACTTCCTTCCCACTAAGTGATTGCTTTAGGACCTTGTCCCTGCCGTGTACAAGTTTCGAAGGTCGAAGCTGCGGTTTCTGCCCGCGTCTTCCTCGTTGCAAATTAGGAAAGAAGCTTTCGAGTTTTTTTTTTTTTTTTTTTTTTTAAGATAGGAAACCGGGCAGCTGTTTCGTCCCGCCTCTTGCTTTGCAAATTAGGAAATTATCAGAGGTCTTTTTTTTTTTTTTTTTTAGGAGATCGGAGCTGTTCGGCGATAAAGACCTGTCGTTCTTCCTATCAGGCTTCCCCACCCTTCTTTTCTTCTTCTCTCTCATTCTCTCTTGCATTCTTAATTCTGTTAATAATTGTATGCTGTTTGAAATCTGCCCCGTATCCAATCCTACGCTAATTACGGACTTCAGTTGTTGTTGTTGTTTTCCCCGACTCGCCTAGTGATTATTCATCAGTTCTTTTTTTTTTTTCTTTTTTTTTTTCTGGAAATCAGATTCCTTCTCGTTGTTCCATTACGAGAGACGAATAGGCGTCAAGGTCGGATCCTCATCAAGCGCTGATTTGCTGCCGGGATTCCGACCCGCAGCAGCGTTCGATGTTGGGTCCGCGTTGAGAACTGATTTGTAGTCGGGATTCCGACCAATAGACCGCTCACGTGAGACATAGTCCGTTCGACAGACACTTTGACGCCGCCGCCTAATAATTTATCATGATTAAATATTTTTGATTGAAGTACTCACTCATCAGTACAGATAAATATGTATATACATATCAGTCTATAAATATCCGTACACCTTCCCTTCTTCCAATTAATCAATCAGTATACATATAAGAATCCGTAGTACATCTTTCCATCCAGTAATCAATCTATAAATCAACCCATCAACCAATCAATCATGGGGTCAGTGCTTTCTCGCGGCAACAGCGATGGACGGGGGTGGGAATCGCTTCCCGCCGCCGGTGGATCGACTGATTACGCGGTCGGGATCGATCTTGGAACGACGAACAGCTGCGTCGCTGTCTGGGATCGCGGCGTCGTCGAGATCATCGCCAACGACAACGGTAATCTGACGACCCCGTCCTGCGTGGCCATCACCGAGGATGGCGGGTACTTAGTCGGCGAGTGCGCTAAGGACCAGGCAACAACGAATCCGAAGAGAACCTTCGTACACATCAAGAGGTTGTTAGATCGACGGCTGGCAGACGTGCAACGTCAGACAGATAGCTGCCTCTGGCCTTACTCATTAGTGGAAGAGGAGGGGCGATGCGTGATAGAGGTGGAGGTTGAGAATAGGAAAACGAAGTACGCGCCAGAGGACCTGCTGGCCTTAATCTTAATGAAGATGAAGGAGACGGCCGAAGCGCGCCTGGATACTGTTGTGGATAAGGCAGTGATTACAGTTCCCGCCAATTTTTCACAGGCACAGAAGGTAGCGACAAAAATTGCCGCAAGGCTGGCAGGTCTGGAGATTGTCAGACTCCTCACGGAGCCGGCAGCGGCGGCGCTCGCTTATGCCTGCAAGTCCTCCATCCAAATGGATTATACCACTGGAGGACGAGGAGGAGGAGGAGGAGGAAGAGGAGGGGAAGGAGGAGGAGGTCTAAGAGGCAGCTTCAGGTGTTGTACGGATGGCGGGGGTAGTTATGGTTTCGGCGGGAGCAGCAGCAGCAGAAGGAGGAGGAGAGGCAGGCATTTCCAATCGGATGGGATTGGTCCTCCCCGAGTGCTGTTTGTCGTTGATTGGGGTGGGGGCACCTTCGATGTCTCCGTGATGACTGTTCGGCGGGAAACTTACACAGTCATTGGTCAGGATGGGGACACACAACTTGGCGGGAAAGATATCGATGACGTTATGGTGCAGCACTTTGTCGACGATTTCTACACGAAGCATGGGATCAAATTACATCAGTATCCAAGACCAATGAGGCGCCTCCGTACCGAGTGTGAGAAGATGAAACACGCTCTCTCTTCCTGCAAATACGTCCGCATTGTGATAGATGGGTTGTGTGAAGGGAAGGATTTCGAGATGAAGATGACGAGGGACAAGTTGCAGGAGCTCGCGGCTCCGTTCTTTGACAGGTGCATGCATCTGGTCGCAAGGGCGCTCGCAGATGCAGGGGTGGAGAGGGCCTCCATTTGGAAGGTGGTTTTGGCGGGAGGCACTATGCGAATGCCCGGGATTCAAGATAAGATGGAAGAGTATTTCGGCGAGGGGAAGTTGAGCCGCGCGATTAATCCCGACCATTGCGTCGCGATCGGGGCCACGTGGCAGGCGGCGCTTGACATGGGATTGGCTGACGTGGACTGCATAGGGGACCTCGCGGTGGTGGAGTCGGTCCCGCTCAGCATCGGAGTCAAAAACGCGGGAGGCGTGTTTGTCAAATGCATCCGACGAAACACACCTTATCCAGTCATGAAGAAGCAGAGCGATTGGAGGACGGGTTTCGATGGCGCCACGTCAGCAACGATGGTAGTGTACGAGGGAGAGAGATTGAACGCTGAGGAGAATCAGCAACTCGGGGAGGTGACGTTGTACGGCCTGGAGCCGAAGGATAAGGATGGGAGAGTTCGCCTGGAGGCGAGTCTGGAGATCGACGAGGACGGGATCTTGACAGCCATGTTAACGGACCTATCCAGTGACGGAGGGGACCGAAAAAAGGCTTGGAAATCATTTGGCCGAAATTGGGGGAGGTGCACCCGTCAGGAGGCACACGTGGCGGCGAGCGAAGCCACCACATTGAAAGAGACGGACAAAATCAGTCTGGAGAGGTCTAGGGCTCGATGGCAGCTCAAGGAGGCCATCCGTCAGATTCAGTGGAAGATTCGAGATACGAAGGACACGGATGAAGAGGCGAGGATGAGGAAGATCGTACTCGAGGCGCAGCAGTGGTGGGAGGAGAATCGGGATCGCGACCTCGGGGCTGACGAGTACCGCAACAAAAGGCAGGAGGTCGAAACCAAATATCGCTTGAGAAGTTGACTGAAGGACTGACGGACTGACGGACTGACTACCACAACCCCTTGCAGCCTGCCTTATATTAGCAGTATTTTCATCTCAGCGGTGGCCCGGGACGATCCAGTGCCAGATCAAGGTCCAGATGAAGATCAAGATGCAGATCCCAATCCGATAGGGACGGGGAAGAGGAGGCGAGGTTAAGGACCTCGCCCCACGGCACACGAAACGAAAACGAAACGAAGGCATCCGCCCACGAAAGATGGAAAAATAGACTCGTTACTATTTATAGCAAAACGACGAACCTGGCCATTTTCTGCCGGAAGATGCACTCGTTCCGTTTTTCGTTTCCTGTGCCGTGCGGCGACGCCCTGAGGGGAAGATCGGAGTACTGGAGGCGCAGCAGTGGTTGGTGGGAGGAGAATCGGCATCTCGACCTCGGGGCTGATGACTAACCACCAGACAAGAAGAAGCAGGAGCTCGAAACTCCAAAATATCTTTTTAAAAAAAAAGAAAAAAAAAAAGGAGTTCGCTGACAAGCGCTCTGCGCCTGGCAGCCTGTCTCACATTGCAGTCATCTGACCGGTCGGGACAATTATGATCCCAATTAATGAGGACGTGAGGGAGGAGTCGACTACTCGAGGCGCAGCAGTGGTTGACGGAGAATTGGCGTCGGGATCTGAATCTCATCAGGTAGAGACGACAACAGCCGGGAACTCGAAACTCCCAAATACGGCGTGCAAAAGTTTTCTTTTTCTTTTTCTTTTCCCTTTTTTGAATCCTTTGAGAAGTTGACTGACTGACAAACTCTTGGCGACTGGCAGCCCGTCTTGAAGTGATCTGAGCGGTCGGGACAACAATGCAGATCCCGTTCAATAGCTGACGCGAGGGAGGAGGCGAGGGTGAGGCCGATCGTACGCGAGGCTCAGCGGAGGTGGGAGAGGGTAATCGTCGGGATCTCGACGTTGGCGCTAACGAATCCCACAATAGGAGCGGTAAGCTCGAGCTCATGTATCATTTGCAGAAACAAACGAAAAAAAAAAAAAAAAAGACTGACAATCCCTTCAGCGCCTTGCCGATCTGATGACCCGTCGGGACAATCCTCGCCTAGCCGTCCATATTTTTTATTTACTTACAACAGGGGCTTAGAGGGGGGGGGGGGGGGGGGGGGGGGGGAGGAGAGGAAAAAAAAGAAAGAGGGAGATGACCTCCCCCCGCATTGCCGTCCAAGCGCCACGTGTAGCAAACAGATCACTTCGTGTATCAATACTGCTGACGTCAACTAATAATTGTAATAATTGTACAACTACTTGTTACATCTGTACTTGTAGGCTTACCTTTTTTTTTTTTTTTTGGCACAATAGAAATCCTTCTGCAGACTGAGTGATCTTATCCTACCTTTCCCTTTTACTTTCCTTCCTTTCCCCCTTTTTTTTGCAAGGGCTACGGCCTTGAGATATTATCATGCAACTGACGGGCCGTAGATAATTCAGAATTCTAGTGTTTTACTCATCTGGTTCCACTCATCTCCACTAGAACTCAGGACCTGGTCTGTATTTGAACAGTTCAGCGGTGTACTAACTGAGCTAGGCTGGTAGGTACACTGAGTGATTGTGGTACAGAAAGTGTACTCTTATTTGTGGAGAAAAGTTGTAGATTACCCCCGCTATTTTAAAAGGGTTCTTTGACCCCCAAACTCGGAAGCACTCGAATGTACTTGTAGTCTTGTACTACTTGATTTGACTCCCCAATAAAAAAAAAAGTAACATCTGTCAAGAAGTTATGGCGTTGGGATCAAGTAATGGCTGCAGAGTTAGTTGACTTGACTGTTTTGTTTGGGAAAAAAAAATAAAAAATCAATTTTGTTATAAAAAAAAAGAAGGATTTGAACATAAAACAGTAGTAGTCTGGCTTAGGGGCTCGTTAGACACTCGGGCGCTAAAAAAAAAATATACGAGCTGTTTCAAATGGGATTTGTGTTTTTCCTTCTTTTTTTCGTGAAAAGTTTCCGTATATATTCCACAGTCCACTGGGTTGGCAGTAATTTGTTTTTTTTTTCCTTTTTTCTGTGGGGAGGGGGAGGGGGGGGAACGGGTTCGCAGGGTTTGTTATTTTTTTTGGTGTTTTCCCCCCAACATCATTTATCACTGCGCTTCTTCATTGTCACATCTATTCTTCTTCTTCTTTTTTTTTTTGGCAGACTCTTTCGGCAGGTTGCACTTAAAAAATGATAATTAAAAAATAATAATAATAAAAAATCGTAATTAAAAAATAAATGAAATGGCAATGACGCGGCAGCCACTTTACCAAGACGAATTTAGTGCATCCGGCTGACTGCAGAGTTTAGAAAGATATTCTCAAGGTAAGGACAAACGAGAGTGACGTCGAAGACGGGGGAGATGTACGGCAGTCGGGATCTGGACGAGAGCACGAGGCAGAAAACGAGCCCAATCAGGGTAGTAGTGGCTACTACGCAGCCTTTTCAGGACGTATCCCTATGATCTCTCTCTCTCTCTCTCTCTCTCTCTCTCTCTCTCTCTCTCTCTCTCTCTCTCTCTCTCTCT